ATATATATACACACAGACATACACTCCCTAAATATAATGCCCAACCCATTATATATATATACCTATTTGCAAGGTAGTGTATATATACATTGCTTCATCACTACCTATATTACCTGTATACTGTATACTCCTTCTATACACCCTACATATACTGCCTACACATGTTTCATAGCGTACCTTTTTACGACTCATTGCATAGCGTGCCTATATACTATATGAGTATATACTCCCTGTAAGCTCCCTAGGGTACCTATACTCTCAATACCCCCTATATACTGGAAATCAACCACTATTTACAGCTGCGCAAACACTGCCCATTTAGGACTGTTGTTGTTGGGAACCCTCCCAGGCCACAGGGGGAGGGAACCATAGATACACAAACACACGTTTGAAAGTACCAGCTCCCCAAAAAAAACCACGCCAGTGTGGCAACCAATCTCTGAATTGGCGCGAAAGAATGTCTCTTGTTGCCTCAGAAAATTTCATCAATTGGCTGCCAAATTTGAAGACTTGCTTTCACAGGCAGCGGCCATGCGAGGAGCAAGGTGGCAGCAGCTGCGAATGGTAAGCAAAGCCTTTGAGAGATCGAATGGACGCTTCAAAGCATTACAAATCTAACAACGATGCCACTTTTGGTGTGGTAAAAGACTTCTAAGTGTGTGGGCCAGCCCGGCTCCAACAGGCGCTTCAAGGCACAATCACGACTGCAGTCCAACATGGCGCAAATATGGCCCTGGCCCGACATGGAGAGGTCGGCAGCCACAGACACGCCTTGAGGAGCCATCACTCTGCCCAAGGATCAACACCAAGACTAGAATGACTAGAAATCATATGACAGTTCAAACCTTTCACTCACATGATTAAATTTCTGTAAATTATGAAAGTTAAATAAAATCTGATTGAAATCCGTAGAAAGGTTTGAATTCTGATTCTCTTCTTGCTTTTGTGCCAGCTTCAGGCATGGCCTCGGTCTCGACATGCCATTGGAAGCGTCGGCAACATGCGTCAATAGCTTTGAACAGCTTGCCCCTGGTGCCCTGGTGAAAAGGACCCTGCTCGCTCTGACCTTTGGATACTTTGCGCCTCTGAACATATTCTTTATCCCGCGAGAGTGCTCTTGTATGTGCCTTCTATATACGTAGCTTTATTGATTGGAGGCCACAAGGGGCAAAAAGCTTGGCAGTTACCCAAGCGACAAAGAACAATCAGAGGTGGGGTGGAATTGGCCCTTGAGTAGTAAAAGCACGCGTTGGTTGTGGGAAAGCCCATTGCTTGTTTCTTGGTTGCTCTTTGTCATGAGGAGGATAAATACAGCCATGTTACGGCGGTCCTGCAAAAAATGGTAGAGGAAAGGCGTGAAGGGATCAGATGCTAAAGATTCAAGAGGAGTAAAGAGGATCTGTCATCCACAAGTTGCGAAACTGCTGTGACTATCTGTGACTCTAGTACTGTACTGCCACGCTAAAGTGTAGCCATGGGTAACCCCAAATCGCTGCAAAGACTGCCAACAGTTCACTGATGCAATGCACTGAGGAGCTGGTGCTCTACATTTAAAAACATTGAAAGAAATGCAAAAGGGATGCCAAGGATGCAAAAGGGGGGGTAAAAGCCACTGGTACAAATGAAGGCTTTAGGCATGCAAGTGCAACCGATAGATGCGCCTACTATTGACCATCTTCATGCAATACAGGTGCAACAATCTTCATGATTTGAAAATGGGGCCGTCACTTTGATGTAGTAAGGCTGAATCTGCAGTTGAAGTGCCTTCAACAAGCTCATTTACAGAATGACCAGATTAATTAGATTACCAAACAAGGCCTTGCCCTGCCATGTGCTCTCAATACCTTTTTTTCACACATTTCGCAATGCGTCATTATATGCTTGAGGATGTCTGTCTTGAAACCGGGAACCACTGCAACGCTGTCAGGCTTCACAACACTTTCAAATCGGTTTCGACAACAAAGTCATGCAATTTCAGAATGAGCAGTCAAGGAAGCCAATCACTTGCTCACGCAGCGCTGCATTCAGCCCTACAGCGACAAATTTCATGCCCAGCAGTTGCCACAGTTTTGGAAGCAGCTGCTGGATCTCATTTCCAGCATGAGCAATCTACGTCATACTGACTTATACTACGCAAATCTAAACGTGCCCTTGCCACGCTCACTCTCCTTCCTTCTTCTCTTCGCCTTCCTCCTTGTGGAAGCTCACGTAGGTCTTTGGGCGCCGTGTCGCCAGCAATGACTGGTCGAACTGGTCCAAGTGAGCTGCGTCACCTTGGTGCACCGTCTCTGGCGCGATGGATGGCAGGAAGTGATCAGAGTGATGAGGAGCCACTGCATCAGGAAAGAAGGCCGTAAAGCTGGATGCCATAGGGCCAAATGCATGTCCATGGTGACCATCTGCCAAGCACGTCGAGTGCCCATCCTGGCTGTGCTGACCATCAGAAACCAAGTTGCTCACCAAGGACTTCAGGGCCATGTTGCACTGCAGACAAAGGTGTCTTTCCTAAATCCAACAAGAATGTCTCGTACCAAGTGGCGCTCTTGATCCAAAATGCAACAGAGCAAAGTCTGGACAGAGAAGCAGATGTAGGCTGACCAGGACCCAAGATTGCTTGATTAAAGCTTAGAGCTTAAAGCAACGTGCAACAATCTTCATGATTTGAAAATGGGGCCGTCACTTTGATGTAGTAAGGCTGAATCTGCAGTTGAAGTGCCTTCAACAAGCTCATTTACAGAATGACCAGATTAATTAGATTACCAAACAAGGCCTTGCCCTGCCATGTGCTCTCAATACCTTTTTTTCACACATTTCGCAATGCGTCATTATATGCTTGAGGATGTCTGTCTTGAAACCGGGAACCACTGCAACGCTGTCAGGCTTCACAACACTTTCAAATCGGTTTCGACAACAAAGTCACGCAATTTCAGAATGAGCAGTCAAGGAAGCCAATCACTTGCTCACGCAGCGCTGCATTCAGCCCTACATCGACAAATTTCATGCCCAGCAGTTGCCACAGTTTTGGAAGCAGCTGCTGGATCTCATTTCCAGCATGAGCAATCTACGTCATACTGACTTATACTACGCAAATCTAAACGTGCCCTTGCCACGCTCACTCTCCTTCCTTCTTCTCTTCGCCTTCCTCCTTGTGGAAGCTCACGTAGGTCTTTGGGCGCCGTGTCGCCAGCAATGACTGGTCGAACTGGTCCAAGTGAGCTGCGTCACCTTGGTGCACCGTCTCTGGCACGATGGATGGCAGGAAGTGATCAGAGTGATGAGGAGCCACTGCATCAGGAAAGAAGGCCGTAAAGCTGGATGCCATAGGGCCAAATGCATGTCCATGGTGACCATCTGCCAAGCACGCCGAGTGCCCATCGTGGCTGTGCTGACCATCAGAAACCAAGTTGCTCACCAAGGACTTCAGGGCCATGTTGCACTGCAGACAAAGGTGTCTTTCCTAAATCCAACAAGAATGTCTCGTACCAAGTGGCGCTCTTGATCCAAAATGCAACAGAGCAAAGTCTGGACAGAGAAGCAGATGTAGGCTGACCAGGACCCAAGATTGCTTGATTAAAGCTTAGAGCTTAAAGCAACGTGCAACAATCTTCATGATTTGAAAATGGGGCCGTCACTTTGATGTAGTAAGGCTGAATCTGCAGTTGAAGTGCCTTCAACAAGCTCATTTACAGAATGACCAGATTAATTAGATTACCAAACAAGGCCTTGCCCTGCCATGTGCTCTCAATACCTTTTTTTCACACATTTCGCAATGCGTCATTATATGCTTGAGGATGTCTGTCTTGAAACCGGGAACCACTGCAACGCTGTCAGGCTTCACAACACTTTCAAATCGGTTTCGACAACAAAGTCACGCAATTTCAGAATGAGCAGTCAAGGAAGCCAATCACTTGCTCACGCAGCGCTGCATTCAACATCGACAAATTTCATGCCCAGCAGTTGCCACAGTTTTGGAAGCAGCTGCTGGATCTCATTTCCAGCATGAGCAATCTACGTCATACTGATTTATACTGCGCAAATCTAAACGTGCCCTTGCCACGCTCACTCTCCTTCCTTCTTCTCTTCGCCTTCCTCCTTGTGGAAGCTCACGTAGGTCTTTGGGCGCCGTGTCGCCAGCAATGACTGGTCGAACTGGTCCAAGTGAGCTGCGTCACCTTGGTGCACCGTCTCTGGCACGATGGATGGCAGGAAGTGATCAGAGTGATGAGGAGCCACTGCATCAGGAAAGAAGGCCGTAAAGCTGGATGCCATAGGGCCAAATGCATGTCCATGGTGACCATCTGCCAAGCACGCCGAGTGCCCATCCTGGCTGTGCTGACCATCAGAAACCAAGTTGCTCACCAAGGACTTCAGGGCCATGTTGCACTGCAGACAAAGGTGTCTTTCCTAAATCCAACAAGAATGTCTCGTACCAAGTGGCGCTCTTGATCCAAAATGCAACAGAGCAAAGTCTGGACAGAGAAGCAGATGTAGGCTGACCAGGACCCAAGATTGCTTGATTAAAGCTTAGAGCTTAAAGCAACGTGCAACAATCTTCATGATTTGAAAATGGGGCCGTCACTTTGATGTAGTAAGGCTGAATCTGCAGTTGAAGTGCCTTCAACAAGCTCATTTACAGAATGACCAGATTAATTAGATTACCAAACAAGGCCTTGCCCTGCCATGTGCTCTCAATACCTTTTTTTCACACATTTCGCAATGCGTCATTATATGCTTGAGGATGTCTGTCTTGAAACCGGGAACCACTGCAACGCTGTCAGGCTTCACAACACTTTCAAATCGGTTTCGACAACAAAGTCATGCAATTTCAGAATGAGCTCAAGGAAGCCAATCACTTGCTCACGCAGCGCTGCATTCAGCCCTACAGCGACAAATTTCATGCCCAGCAGTTGCCACAGTTTTGGAAGCAGCTGCTGGATCTCATTTCCAGCATGAGCAATCTACGTCATACTGACTTATACTACGCAAATCTAAACGCACGCTCACTCTCCTTCCTTCTTCTCTTCGCCTTCCTCCTTGTGGAAGCTCACGTTCTTTGGGCGCCGTGTCGCCAGCAATGACTGGTCGAGGTCCAAGTGAGCTGCGTCACCTTGGTGCACCGTCTCTGGCACGCAGGAAGTGATCAGAGTGATGAGGAGCCACTGCATTAAAGCTGGATGCCATAGGGCCAAATGCATGTCCATGGTGACCATCTGCCAAGCACGTCGAGTGCCCATCGTGGCTGTGCTGACCATCAGAAACCAAGTTGCACCAAGGACTTCAGGGCCATTTGCACTGCACAAACGCTTTCTACAGGCGAACTGGATTACTCCTCTCTCCAACTAGCAATGGCAGATTTCGGAGACCCCATTCAGTCCTGCACCGTGCGAACTCAGTTCAAACACAAAGACAAAGTTGTCTCCAGCCTTCATGAGAGTTATATTAGTATTATATATATATATATTATGTAAATATATATATTATGTATATTATATATATATACGTTACATACATTATATACATGCACGTACAGCATCATGTACTTGCCTCTCCAACTTCCGCTTTCACCCTCAGTTGGTTGTGGAGCTGCTTCATGGTCTTAAGAAAAGTTCAGAGAATCAAGCATCGAGGTTTGTTCAGGCAGGCTCCTTAGCAAGGTTCCGTTGCCCTCGGATGCTCAACACATGTGCAAATTCAAACTCTTTTGCAATGTCTTGAATCCATGGACACGCTGCCGGCTTTTTACACTTTCGCCACTCTCATGAGTCGTACCTTTTGAATCTTAGCGTCACTCAAGGGTAAGCTTGAGAGAAAGCTCGGCTTGACTTGAACGGTGCATCAATGTAGAATTCATCGCTCACAGGAGGAAAAAGAAAAGGTCTTAAAGTCTCAGTCTTAAACCATATCTCAAATGCATGTAGAGCTGTTTGAGTTGCCTGTTTGTCACAAATCCTTGCTCTCAGAGTCACTGCAACCAGCCAGCTAACTGTCAGCCAATTTCATTCCCAGAAACATTGACTGCAGTTTTGACAGCAGTTTCTGGGATTAGGATTGCGATTAATCCGATTGATACCTTGTATTGCACTCACTCTCCTTCACTCTCCTTCCTTCTTCTCTTCGCCTTCCTCCTTGTGGAAGCTCACGTAGGTCTTTGGGCGCCGCGTCGCCAGCAATGACTGGTCGAACTGGTCCAAGTGAGCTGCGTCACCTTGGTGCACCGTCTCTGGCGCGATGGATGGCAGGAAATGATCAGAGTGATGAGGAGCCACTGCATCAGGGAAGAAGGCCGTAAAGCTGGATGCCATAGGGCCAAATGCATGTCCATGGTGACCATCTGCCAAGCACGTCGAGTGCCCATCGTGGCTGTGCTGACCATCAGAAACCAAGTTGCTCACCAAGGACTTCAGGGCCATGTTGCACTGCGGACAAAGGCTTTTTACAGGCGAACTGGATTACTCCTCTCTCCAACTAGCACTGAACATAAATGGCAGATTTCGCAGACCCCATTCAGTCCTGCAAATGTAAACATGTGTGAACTCAGTTCAAATACCAAGTTGTCTCCAGCCTTCACAAGAGTTACATTACAGTAGTACAGATATCATGTATTCAGTATATACAAGTATGATCAAGTACGTACAGCATCATGTACTTGCTACCTCTCCAACTTCCGCTTTCACCCTCAGTTGGTTGTGGAACTTGTTCGCCCCAACCCAGACGTTGCTCCACACTTACAATTGTCATGATCATCATGATCATCATCATCATCATCACCACATCATCACATCATCACATCATCACATCATCACATCACGATCATCATCACATTAAAATTTGCCACCCCCTCTGAACAATATGTTGATTGGGGTAATAACATAGACTTTATCTTCATAAGGGATCAAAATTTTGCCATCCCCTATGAACAATATGTTGATTGGGGTAAAAACATCAACTTTCTCTTCATAAGGGATCAAAATTCGCCACCCCTATGAACAAAAAATATTGATTGGGATAATAACATCAACTTTATCTTCATAGCCACCTGAAGTCAGACGCGGCACAACGTCAGGGTTGAAGCGAACTTGTTTCATGGTCTTAAGAAAAGTTCAGAGAATCAAGCATCGAGGTTTGTTCAGGCAGGCTCCTGACTCCTAATAGCAAGGTTCCGTTGCCCTCGGATGCTGCAACACATGTGCAAATCCAAACTCTTTTGCAATGTCTTGAATCCATGGACCTACGCTGCCGGCTTTTTACGCTTTCGCCACTCTCATGCTGAGTCGTACCTTTTGAATCTTAGTGTTCACTCAAGGGTAAGCAGTGCCATGAGAGAAAGCTCGGCTTGACTTGAACGGTGCATCAATGTAGAAATCATCGCTCACAGGAGGAAAGAGAAAAGGTCTTAAAGTCTCAGTCTTAAACAATATCTCAAATGCATGTAGAGCTGTTGAGTTGCCGGTTTGTCACAAATCCTTGCTCTCAGAGTCACTGCAACCAGCCAGCTAACTGTCAGCCAATTTCATTCCCAGAAACATTCACTGCAGTTTTGACAGCAGTTTCTGGGATTAGGATTGCGATTGATCCGATTGATACCTTGTATTGCACTCACTCTCCTTCACTCTCCTTCCTTCTTCTCTTCGCCTTCCTCCTTGTGGAAGCTCACGTAGGTCTTTGGGCGCCGTGTCGCCAGCAATGACTGGTCGAACTGGTCCAAGTGAGCTGCGTCACCTTGGTGCACCGTCTCTGGCGCGATGGATGGCAGGAAGTGATCAGAGTGATGAGGAGCCACTGCATCAGGAAAGAAGGCCGTAAAGCTGGATGCCATAGGGCCAAATGCATGTCCATGGTGACCATCTGCCAAGCACGTCGAGTGCCCATCGTGGCTGTGCTGACCATCAGAAACCAAGTTGCTCACCAAGGACTTCAGGGCCATGTTGCACTGCGGACAAAGGCTTTTTACAGGCGAACTGGATTACTCCTCTCTCCAACTAGCACTGAACAGAAATGGCAGATTTCGCAGACCCCATTCAGCCCTGCAAATGTAAACATGTGTGAACTCAGTTCAAATACCAAGTTGTCTCCAGCCTTCACGAGAGTTGCATTAGCACCTATATACCGTGTATATATATATATACACACACATGATTATACATGTACGTACAGTATCATGTACTTGCTACCTTTCCGACTTCCGCTTTCACCCTCAGTTGGTTGTGGAACTTGCCTCGTGGTCTTAAGAAAATATCAGAAAATCAAGCATCAAGGTTTGTTCAGGCAGGCTCCTAATGGCAAGGTTCCGTTGCCCTCGGATGCTGCAACACATGTGCAAATCCAAACTCTTTTGAAATGTCTTGAATCCATGGACCTACGCTGCCGGCTTTTTACACTTTCGCCACTCTCATGCTGAGTCGTACCTTTTGAATCTTAGTGTTCACTCAAGGGTAAGCAGTGCCATGAGAGAAAGCTTGGCTTGACTTGAACGGTGCATCAATGTAGAAATCATCGCTCACAGGAGGAAAAAGAAAAGGTCTTAAAGTCTCAGTCTTAAATCTTAAACAATATCTCAAATGCATGTAGAGCTGTTTGAGTTGCCGGTTTGTCACAAATCCTTGCTCTCAGAGTCACTGCAACCAGCCAGCTAACTGTCGGCCAATTTCATTCCCAGAAACATTCACTGCAGTTTTGACAGCAGTTTCTGGGATTAGGATTGCGATTGATCCGATTGATACCTTGTATTGCACTCACTCTCCTTCACTCTCCTTCCTTCTTCTCTTCGCCTTCCTCCTTGTGGAAGCTCACGTAGGTCTTTGGGCGCCGCGTCGCCAGCAATGACTGGTCGAACTGGTCCAAGTGAGCTGCGTCATCTTGGTGCACCGTCTCTGGCGCGATGGATGGCAGGAAGTGATCAGAGTGATGAGGAGCCACTGCATCAGGAAAGAAGGCCGTAAAGCTGGATGCCATAGGGCCAAATGCATGTCCATGGTGACCATCTGACAAGCACGTCGAGTGCCCATCGTGGCTGTGCTGACCAGAAACCAAGTTGCTCACCAGGGACTTCAGGGCCATGTTGCACTGCGGACAAAGGCTTTTTACAGGCGAACTGGATTACTCCTCTCTCCAACTAGCACTGAACAGAAATGGCAGATTTCGGAGACCCCATTCAGCCCTGCAAATGTAAACATGTGTGAACTCAGTTCAAATACCAAGTTGTTTCCAGCCTTCACGAGAGTTATCATTAATCATCCCATAGATCATTCCCATGATATTATTGCTATATTATCATTGTATAGATTATCCCATAAAAAAATGGAAAAATGGGGGTTTCAGGGCGTATATGTTTGTATGTTGCTTGTTATGATTTTGTGTTGGGGTTCAATGTTTCATCTTCGCCTTTGATGTTTTTTCAGGTGGGGTTTTGGGGGTAATTTTGTTGCTAAAGTGATGTGTCAATGTTTGGATTGAAGGGGGGTAGGATTTGTTTAGGCTGTTGGGGTTTTTGTTTGTGTTTGGGTGGGTGATTACTTCATAATATGTGTTGTTAAGATATTATGAATTAATCATTTATGCTTTCCACTTTCCTATTCCATCCCACCAGTGTTCAATCACTCTCATTTGTGTTAAGCAAGGTTTGTTTGTATCATTTAGTTCATCCATTGCTATTGATAAAAGCGTTAGGTTGATAATCATAGCGTTGAATTCTCCATCTCGGTTGAGTTCCTTTCCACAATCAATGATGACTTTTTTATCAGTGAGGTTTTCATACATCTTTTTCATTATATCAAATCTTACGAATGAATATATTATCATTCCATTTACTCCTTCTGCTTCTTTCATCCTATCAATTACTTTCTTCCAAAACTTTTCTCCTTCCTCATCATCTGGTGAAGGCATAGGATGGCACTTTACAAAGTCTCTAATCTCTTCATCTTCTTTTTCTATTTGTTTTCTTTCCCAATCATCGTCCTCACTATCACTACCAAAGTCAGCATATATACCAATATTCCCTGTATCTATAACCTCAATTTTTGCTCTACTCATTTTCTCTTACTATATATAGATATTTTTTTCTTTAAGTATTTATCACTTTTTGTAGGTGCTCTTTTATTTCTTCTATGTTCAAATATTTCTCATAACCGTTGAACAGTTCTTCAACATATTCACGCAAGAAAATTTCCAAAATGTCTTTTATCTTGAACTCCCTGTTTCTAAACATAAAAGTTCGTTCAACATTAGGAAACCACCAGCATCTTCGTTGCTTACTGTAATTGATGAAATTAAGGTCGTGAAAGTTCTTTAGAATATGATAAGTGTATTTCCAATGGTTTTTGACATAAGACTTAATCGCTTGAAGATATATCTTATCCTTTTGAAATTCTACCTTCAGTTTATAGGTGTCCAATAAAGCATCTATTTCTCTCTTCATTACTCTTACATTTGTTCGGTCGGTGTTGGATAAATAGATAGGTGATTTTTCCATCCTTGTTTTAAAGAAATGTATTTGTTTTTCAACTCTTGTTAGTTCTTTCTCTTCAAAATGGTCAAAATGATAGTTGAATGTTATATATCTGCGTTCCTTATCATTCAACTCTTTACATTTTGAACAGTGAAGGTTGTAATCACATATCTCATCACAAATTCCAGCAGGAAAAATGTTGTTCAATAAAACCTTAATGTCAGTCATTTCTTTCTTACAACATCCACAGTTTTTATAAGTAAATAGCATCCTCTTACTATATATAGGTAATTTTTCTTTAAGTAGTTTTTGGGGGCTCGTTCAGTTTTCGGGTTCGGGTTGGTTTTTATTTTCCCTTTCCTCCTCTTCCAGTTCTCTTATGACCATATCTATTTCACTCATTCCTTCGTTGGGGTCTTGTCCATTGGCGAGGTTTCTTAACCTCTCAAAATCCTTCACTTTGTGTCTTTCATTAGGTGGGAGGGTTTTGAGATGTTCCTTCAACTCTGTCAGGTCAAAGTATGTGTCTTGTTCTTCATCCTCATTTTCCAAAAACATTTCCATTCTTTGCTTTTCCATCTCCATAAGTTTGTTTTCCATATATTGGAATTCAATTGCTTCTTGTAGCACTTCCCACAAACATTCACGAAGGTTTTTAACAAATAATTCCAACTAGGTTTTTTGTAATCACCATTGTTTAAGGTGATACACTCACTCATTATACGACATCCACAGTCAAATTTAGTCATCTTATTTAGTCTTACTATATATAGGTATTTTTTCTTTAAGTATATTTTTTATTGGTGATAATTTTGAAAATCTAATATTATAATATATGGCAAGGAGACTATCAAGAGATGACATCATAAGCAATGTCTATTACAATCTTGAAACGGGCTTCGGCTCAATCAATGAGACCCTCAAAAAAGCGAAGGAACAAGACCCGACCATCAACAGGGTGGATGTGGAAACCTTTATGAGGAAACAGCCCAACAAACAGATTAGAAAATACAGGGGTTCAAACTCCTACACCGCCCCGTTCGCAAGGTTTGAATATCAGATTGACATAATGGATATGAAACCCCTTACCAAAGAACCAGAGGTTGAAGTTCCAATCAAGAATGGTGAGCCGAGATACGGGTTGGTAGTCATTGACATCTTCAGCAAGTTGGCTAACGTCGTCCCTATGAAGGAAAAGTCAGGACCAATCACTTTGTCGGCAATGAAAGAGAGTTTCAACAAAATGGGTTTTCCAATGTCCGTTTATAGTGATAATGACCGTGCCTTCCAAGCGGGAGTTAAAGACTTTTTTGAGAAAGAAGGCATCACTCACGTCGTCACCCTCACACACGCTAATGTTGTGGAGCGTTTCATCAGAACAATGAAGAATATGATTCACGATAGGGTCAGGTTTAATCGTGGTAGTTGGACTGTGATGTTGTCCAAAGCGTTGGATAAATACAACGACACCGTCCATTCATCTACAAAAATGAAACCCAAGGATGCCCACGACGACAAGAACCATATGGACGTCAGGGTGAATTTGACAAGGAGGGAAAAGAACACTCGCAAATATCCAGAGGTCAAAGTGAATGATATGGTCAAGGTCTTTGAGAAGAAAAAAGACAACTACACCGAGAGGAAGGAGTATAACTCAAAGTGGAGCAATCAATCCTACAAAATCGTCAAGATAGAATACGACGACGTCGGAAACAGAACCTTCAAACTGGAAGGATTGAACAAACCGTATTTGAGGCACGAGATTTTGAAAGTATAAAAAATTATCTATAATATTAATATATGACAGAGGTAGTCGTAAAAGAGATTGATAATGAAGAACCAAAGGAAGAAACAATACCAGAACCAATACAGGAAGAAGCACGGCAAAGCCCTGCTTCCTATCGGGAAGCACCGAAGGAAGAGGAGAAACCAGAAGAAATAATTGAAACACCAGTTCAAGAGAAACCGCAACAAGCAACGGTAGTCCCAAAGCCCAAAAGGGTAAGACCGTCAAGGGCGAAACCACCTTTTGACCCAGAAGCATTCAAAAACGACCTTGTAAAGCAACTGAAGGAAGAACTACAGAGTGCAATGACCGCCAGAGACACCTACAACAAAGCCAAAGAGGAAAAGAACAAAGCGACGAGAGAGAAATTGAAATCTTTAGCATCAAAAATTTTGTAAAGTATTATATATAAAAATGAACATCAAGGAACAGAAAACGGAACTCAACAAAACTGACATCTACGAAAACGTCCGCAAGGACATCAACAGAAGACAAACCGTCCATTCAAACAAAAGTGCCAACTACAGGAGCGGAACGCCCGAAATGCCAGACAGAAGAAAAAAATGTATAGTAGTTATGACCACTACTACCACAACGACAGCAACACGGCAAGGATGCCAACTCACAACCATCATCTTTACCTAAAGCGTCTTCTTGAATATCACAACACCGAGCACGACTACAAGGTCTTACAAGTAAAGCAGAGGATGAAGGAAGAGAATGAGATGCTACAGAACGAAATGACAAGGTTGAGGGAGGTGAGGAAAAATCACAGATTGGAAGATTACGGGGCGAACGTCCAGAATATGAAACAGAGAATTGATGAGTATAAGCAGTGGTTGAGAGGCGATACACAAGATTAATATAAAAATCTAAAGTATTAATATATAGCAATGACAGCAGAAGTAATCAACGCAAAACAGGGATTGACACGAATACCCACTTACGCAGAACTCATCAAGGAAATAGACAGGGAAAAGTTCAAAACCAATGACATCAGAAAAATCTTTGATAGGAACGCTTGGTATTTTCACGAAAGTCCGCAGGGTCAAGCACTGAACACAAACAACATCCACCCAGCAGACTTACAGCAAATGAACTTCAAAAAGATGGCAGAGGAAGCGACCGCAAGGAAGGAAGAAGAAACACCCAACCTTGACTTTGAAGATATGACCGACTTGAGGGACGACGCCATCAGCGACTTTGAGATGTCCTTTGACAGAGAGGCAGAGTTGAGGGAAGAGAACGAAAGGAGAGTAGCAGAACAGGCAAATTTAAGTCATTCACAAGACCACTATATGGCAAACAAAGGAACATACGACGCCGTTGGAGCAACAGCATCGGCAGGGATACAAGAAGACGAAGAACCGCCTTCAAGCAGTAGAAGCATCTTAAAGAACTTCCTTAAATCATCCAAACCAGTCATCAAAGCAGTCGCCACAGCAGGAGGAACAGCAAAGGGAGGGTCAATAGGAGGACTAATAGCATCAAAACTGACAGACACCATCATACCCGACGAAGACGAGGAAGAGAAACCGTCCAAGATAAAACCAACACAAAAACTAATCAACAAACAAGTCAAAAAGGTAAATCACCAAAAGAAGTTAAAGGAGGAAAAATCAAAGATGAATGTAGATGTAGTGCCCGACACCGCAGAAGCAATGGACACAACAGCAATACCAACAGCAGAAAAGAGGAAACCCTTAAGCGTGAGACAGTCCAAAGCAAAGAGGCAGAAACCAAAACCGCCAACGCAGGAGAAGAGAGAATTTCAGGAAGACCCATCCACAACCACCAAACCACCCAAAGCAAGAAGAGTAAGAGGAA